CCGAAAGACACACACACACACACACACACCTGTCCCTGGGGCCTGTGAGGTGGCACTCACATGAGGGTTTTCCAGACGCGGCCGGGGACATCTGGGTTACCCAGATGGAAGTCAGTGTCCTGAAAGGCGGGGCTGGAGGCGGCACCCGCCAAGAAGAGGGAGAGGTGCCGGCCGAACTCAGGGCCTTCCTCATGTTAAGCAGGCAAACCACCACTTGAGCCATACCCGAGCTCTTTGAGCTCTAGCTGTCTTTTCCCCTTGAGTGTTTGCTGAACAGGGTGGCACTTGATCCTACCACCTCTGCCTCCGATGTCGGTGTGATCGCTTGCAGTGGCACACCACCATGCCCAGCTTTGTGGGTTGAGATGGGGTCTCACTAACTTTTTGCTGACCTGGAACTCTGACCTTTGTGATCTCCCTCCATCTTCTGGTAGCTGGGATTATAAGTGTGAGCCACTGTGACCCACTTTACATATGCATTTAATTGGTAATTTTAATGGCTATCTCATTATGAGATAGTATTGTTCTATAACCAATGGCCCAAGTGGACAGATGCTGGTTATCATCAGTAGCTAGCTGTTAAATAATGCAAGTGGGGCTGGGAAGGTGGCTCAGTGGTCGAGTGCTCATCTAGCACGCATGAAGCCCTGGGTTCCATTCCTCAGTACCACACACACAGAAAAAGCCAGAAGCGGGGCTGTGGCTCAAGTGGTACAGTGCTAGCCTTGAGCAAAAGCAGCCCAGGGACAGTGCCCAGGCCCTGAGTTCAAGCCCCAGAACTGGCAAAATAAATGAGTAAAGCAAGTGTCTTGGTAGGGTTTTTTAAAGATACTTTCTAAAGTTTCTTCTGTGGGTGTCAGTCCTAGGGTCTGGGTGCTGTCCCTGAGCATTTCACTTTTGCTCAAGTCTAGTGTTCTCCCCCTGAAGCCAGAGCTCTACCTCCAGTGTTTGGTGGTTAATTAGAGAGAAGAGTCTCACAAGCTTCCCTCTCCTGTTTGGCTGTACTTCAAACTGCAAACCTCGAATCTCAGCCTCCAGAGTTGCTGGATGGTAGGCGGGAAGGAGCCTTCAGCATCCGGCTTTTTTTTTTAAGGTCGTCTCACCGTGTAGCGGTGCTGGGCCAGAGTTCCAGGTCCTCCTGCCTCTCTGCCTCCTGCGTGCAAGGATTTCAGGCGCGTCCACCACCCCAGGCTCACAGGAAGCCGAGGGTTTCCAAGCATCCAATTATTTGTAGAGACGGTTGTACGTTCGGTCTTGATTGGCACATTATGTAACAGAAGTGCCAGGCAGCGCTGACCCGACGGGAAAGGACCGGGAGGGAGGCTCCTGCCAGGAGCTCGGCTTACGGAAGTCTTGCTTACGCTCCCAGGGAAGCCTGCCAGCCGTCCTCCCTGGCCCAAACCAGGCCTGCTCCGGACTCTGAGGTGCTGTGGCTGCCCTGACTAGGAGCCCAGCGGGCACCGTGGCCTTCCTACGCAGGGGCGGGCTGCACGGCAAGCAGGAAGCATTGTTTAATGCTGTCAGTCCTGCACAATCAGCTTTAAAATGATTAAGATGATATTCTCATGCAGAAGTTACCAGGTTTTTCTGTGGCAGTGAGGACTGAACACAAAGCTCTCCCAGGCCCAGCAGGTGCTCTACAACTTGAGTCATGCCCTAACCCTTTTGCTTTTGTTTACCAGAGCTAGCCTCTAGCTGTGATCCTCCAATCTCTGCCTCCCAAGTAGCTGGGATTATCAGTATGCATCAACATACCTGACCCCTAATTTTTTAAACTTGAAAAAAATCTCTGGGCACCTGGAGCCAGAGGAGGTGAGAGCCCACTCTGCAGAGCTTCAGATCAGCACAGAGGGTGGGCACGGGAGGCTGTGCACAAGGGACTGCTGACACAGCCCAGGCGTGCACAATGCACAGCCGCTCTTGGAACACGGCTTTAGATACCCATGACAGACATTACTAATCAATCAAGGTCCACAGCCCCAGCAGGATTTGGCCTCAGAATCCTTCTCGACTCAATGCTCTGGGCAGCCACTACCAATCAATCAGAGATGGCAGAAAACCGATCCCATGCCCCCACCCCGCCGCTCCAGGGGCTGGTCTAGAAGGCGGCAGGAGGCAGACAGCAGGGCGGGGTGTCTGGGCCTGCAATGGGCACCCCAGCTGGGCACAGATGAGCCGTGGCTGAGGCCACAGCCAGCGTGGCACCCCGCCGGTAACCGCTCAGCCACTTCAAGTAATTGCTCCGCCAGGCCGCCCTGCTGGGAAAATCACTAAGGGATAGGGCTCAGACAGGGAGCAGAGGCTGCGGTGGGCACTGGGCCACCCTGGCAGCCCAGACTCGATCGCAGGAGGGAACACAGCTGCACCCCTCCCCCCCTCGCAGCGTGTCCTGCCAGGCCGGCGCGCTCAGAGCGCCACACGCGGTGCCAGCTGGGGGCCAGTGGAACCTTCTGAACTTGCCACGGCCAGCCCTGGGGGAAATGCCAGAAACTGCAGGGGGCAAAGAGACAGAAGCAGGGAGAGAGCAAGGAGAGAGGGGAAGGGAGAGAGAGAGGGGTGGAGAGGGGGAGAGGGGTGGAGAGGGGGAGAGGGGTGGAGAGGGGGAGAGGGGTGGGGAGGGGGAGGAAGCAGGAGAGGCCCAGGCAGCAACCACCGCCGCTCACGCCCTGACCCGCCGCTGGGACCAGCCCAGGCCCGGCCCAGGGAGCCTCAAGGCTTCTAGGAAAGCCGGCAGCACACCAATGTGTGGGGCAGACAGCGAGCACCCCGGCACCCCGGTGACCCGGCACAGGGAGTGGAGACCTGGGCTGGCCCTGCCCCGAGACCACCGCCTGCCCCACTGTGAGCGCAGGCCAGTCTCCCCCTCGGTGGGAGAGAAGGGCGGCCCGGCCCTGGGAATCCAGGTCCTGTCCATGCCGCGACCACTGCTACAGAAGCTGCTGAGACGGGCCCGGCCCACTCCCGACACAGCCGCCGTCTGCCGCTTCACTCGGCCCTGCCGGGCGGGCGGGAGCTGGCAGGACCAGGCCCCGTGTCTGCGCCACCTCCCAGCCGTGGGGCCACCGCAGCTGCCCGGCCAGGCACTCGGCAGCCGCCACACAACACAGCTGCTGGGCGGCTCCGACCTGAAGCCGGAGGCCCTGCGGTTCACTGCCAGCGGCTCCTCACCATGACCGCGGGCAGCTCCTCCTCCCTCGCCCCGGGAGCACCGCGGCCACCCCACCAGCGCTGAAGCCACTCACGAGGGGCAGAGGCTGGCCAGCCCGGACACGCACCGCAAGCCCACCTCTGCGTGAGGGAGGAGGAGTCCTGCCAGCGGCTCCTCCCCACAGAGGCTCCCTCAGCTCCCCTGTGACCGCGGACACGGGGCCCACTGTGACCCGTCCACGCCAAGCTCCAGTCAAGGAAGCCAGACCTGATGGGCGCAGGCGGTCAGCAAGGTGGGAGGCGCCTGGGGGTCTGTGGAGCTCCTGCCCCTCCACGCTCTCTCCGCCTGTGCACACACCCATCTGTGGACACAGACGTGCGCCCAGAGGGGCCGGCTCCACCCTGGGGTGGCCCCCAGTCAGGGCCCGAAGGGCTGATCCTGCGGGGAGGCCACCTAGCCAGACTTCCCCGCTCCTGTCCTTCTGTGCTTCTGGCCCGGCCCCAGGCTCTGTCCCAGGTCACCAGTGCCAACCCCGGTCCAGCCCTGTGCTGCTCCAACCTCAGGGCCACAGGACAGGGCCAGATCCTCCACGTGAGCTTGGCAGGTGCCATCTCCCGCTCATTATCACCGATGAGGAAACCAGGGTTCAGAGAGACCAGCCTGCCCCAGGGAGCGGCTCACGGCACTGAGCACGCCAGCCCCACACCAGCCTGACTGAGAAACCTCCAGACCTCCCTCAGAGGCAGGAATTCTACTCCTCCTTACAGCTGTCTCATTGTTTTTGTGGCCAGTCCTGGGGTTTGAACTCAGGGCCTGGGCACTGTCCCTGAGCCTTTCTGTGCTCAAGGCCAGTGCGCTACCCCTTGAGCCACGGCACCGCTTCTAGATTTTTCTGTTTCTGTGGTGCTGAGGAATCGAACCCAAACCTTCATGCATGCTAGGCAAGCACTCTATCACTGAGCCACATTCCCGGCCTGAGCTGTCTCATTTCTCTCTAAACGTCAGCTATTACAAGGGACAGGTGTCCATTGCTGAACCATAGCCACCGCCTGCATTGTCATGTCACCAACCACAGGGCCTCACCCTCGGCTGGCGACCAGGCTGGAGGGCTGAGCACCACTGAGCTGGGCTTTCCTGGGGGCTCAGCCCCGCTGCCCGCAAACCCAACACCTTCCACACAGACACAGGAACACTGTCCCAGGCCCCACGGCTCCCTGCCGGGGACAGCAGAGGCTCCGAGCGCCCCTGAGGTCTGGACAAGCCCCCCAGTAGCTAGATTGTGGCAGAGCCCAGGTCTACTCACTTGCGGCGCCCTGGCGGCCTCCGGCGCTGCTTCCTTCCCCCCCGGGGGAAGGTGGCTGGGTGGCTCGGCTCCCCAGTTCCCAGTCTCCCGGAGCCTCTGCAGCTTCTCAGGAGCCAGACTAGGCACCTCTCAGCCCTGAGGCTCCCAAGACAAGGGAAGCCCACAGACACCCACAGCCTCCTCTGGACACGTTCCTTAGGACGGAGAGGCCCGCTAAGCCTCGGGCTCGACGTCCCACAGCCCTGCTGCCGAGGCTGCTCCACACCACCCACCAGCCCGGGGCGGCCCCTGCGCCAGCCCTCCACAGCCTCCGTGAAGCACGTCGGCTGTCGCGGAACAGAAGAAAAGAGGTGCTGTCATGTTTGAGGAGGAAACAGCAGTCCCCAGACCTCAGATCGGCCATTTCCACGTCCTGCATCTTCCACGGCCACCTTGGGAGACCTCCGAGGAGCCCCAAGTTTCCATGGGGCTCAGTTTGGGTAATACTCCCACTGACCAGAGTGTGGTCTCTGACCCCCTTCCCCCGCGCAGCGCACCACGCCGCCCTACCTGGAAGCGGCGATCTCGGCCTTCTGCCTGGCAATGGTGGCAGCCCGGCCGGCGGCCTCCACGGCCCGGTCCACCTTCTCCCGGATCTTGCTGGCCCGCAGCGGGATGAGGTTCTTGCGCTTGCCGCTCACCAGCACGTTCTGCTTGTACTTGCCCTCCTCCTTGGTGCCGTCGGGGAAGGTCATGCAGCCGTAGCCGTGCCGCCGGTTGCTGGCCCACTCGCCCTCGTACTTGAGCCCGTCGGAGCGCTGGCTCACGCCGAAGCCCGCCCGCTTGTCGTTCTTCCACTCGCCCACGTAGGTCTCGGTGGTGGTGGCATCGATGTCATCCTCGATGACGGCCAGCTCCGCCTCCGCCTCGCCCAGGCTGATGGTGGAGTGGATGTCGCTGGCGGTGGAGCTGACGGTGCTCATGCCGGCCTCGCTGCGGAAGGAGCTCTGCTTGCTGCGCTGGCTGGCCAGGCTGCTCTTGGACTCCGACTTGCGCAGCTTCAGCCCGCTCAGCAGTGAGCGCCGGAACAGCCCCTTCTTCTTGCTCTTCAGGATCTCCGAGTCGCTGTGCGCCACCAGCACGAAGCCGCCCCGCGACACGGCGGGGCTGCCGGCCACGGCGGGGGAGGCGTCGGGGTGCAGCGCCGCGCCGTTGGTGTGCTCACTGCGCAGGGAGTTGATGGACGTCCTCAGGGGCGAGCGGATGACCGCCGCCATGCCATAGGGGACGCTCTGACGCACCCCATAGCCCTGCCGCATGCCACCGGCCCACTGGCCCTGGTATGTCCCTGGGGAGGCAAAGGGGAGAGAAGTGAGCTCCCAGGGTGGCTGGGGGGGGTGCAGGGGCGCGAGGCGGGGGGGGAGGGGGCTCCCAGGGCAGGAACACAGGGTGCAGGGTGGACAGCCCTCCGGCCTGGGCTCCCTTTTAGGTGACGCGGCTGTGGGCACAGTGCGTCAGTCATCGTCACTGGTGGCCATTTCCAAAGACAGGGTGCGGTGACCTGCCTCCTTCCTGCTGCTTCTTTCCAACTTAGGAGATCAGGAGAGGGTGGGGGGAGGAAGCCGGATGCAGGGCATCCGAGTCCAGGGAGAGCTCCCCCCAAACCTGAGCATGAGGAGGTGCTGGGGGACACAGGGAGGGCTCCCCAACCTGAGCATGACGGAGGTGCCAGGACACAGGGAGAGCTCCCCCCAACCTGAGCATGAGGAGGTGCTGGGGACACAGGGAGGGCTCCCCAACCTGAGCATGAGGAGGAGCTGGGACACAGGGAGGGCTCCCCAACCTGAGCATGAGCAAGTGCCAGGGACACAGGGAGAGCTCCCCCAACCTGAGCATGAGGAGGTGCTGGGACACAGGGAGAGCTCCCCAACCTGAGCATGAGCAAGTGCCAGGCACACAGGGAGAGCTCCCCAACCTGAGCATGAGGAGGTGCTGGGGACACAGGGAGGGCTCCCCAACCTGAGCATGAGGAGGTGCTGGGACACAGGGAGAGCTCCCCAACCTGAGCATGAGGAGGTGCTGGGGACACAGGGAGGGCTCCCCAACCTGAGCATGAGGAGGTGCCGGGCACACAGGGAGAGCTCCCCAACCTGAGCATGAGCAAGTGCCAGGGACACAGGGAGAGCTCCCCCAACCTGAGCATGAGGAGGTGCCAGGACACAGGGAGAGCTCCCCAACCTGAGCATGAGCAAGTGCCGGGGACACAGGGAGAGCTCCCCCAACCTGAGCATGAGGAGGAGCTGCGGACACAGGGAGGGCTCCCCAACCTGAGCATGAGGAGGTGCTGGGACACAGGGAGAGCTCCCCAACCTGAGCATGAGGAGGAGCTGGGGACACAGGGAGGGCTCCCCAACCTGAGCATGAGGAGGTGCTGGGACACAGGGAGAGCTCCCCAACCTGAGCATGAGGAGGAGCTGGGACACAGGGAGAGCTCCCCAACCTGAGCATGAGGAGGTGCTGGGACACAGGGAGAGCTCCCCCAACCTGAGCATGAGCAAGTGCCGGGGACACAGGGAGAGCTCCCCAACCTGAGCATGAGGAGGAGCTGGGACACAGGGAGGGCTCCCCCAACCTGAGCATGAGCAAGTGCCAGGGACACAGGGAGAGCTCCCCCCAACCTGAGCATGAGGAGGTGCTGGGGGACACAGGGAGGGCTCCCCAACCTGAGCATGAGGAGGAGCTGGGACACAGGGAGAGCTCCCCCCAACCTGAGCATGAGGAGGTGCCGGGCACACAGGGAGAGCTCCCCAACCTGAGCATGAGCAAGTGCCAGGGACACAGGGAGAGCTCCCCCAACCTGAGCATGAGGAGGTGCCAGGACACAGGGAGAGCTCCCCAACCTGAGCATGAGGAGGTGCCGGGGACACAGGGAGAGCTCCCCCAACCTGAGCATGAGGAGGAGCTGGGGACACAGGGAGGGCTCCCCAACCTGAGCATGAGGAGGTGCTGGGGGACACAGGGAGGGCTCCCCAACCTGAGCATGAGGAGGTGCTGGGACACAGGGAGAGCTCCCCCAACCTGAGCATGAGGAGGAGCTGGGGACACAGGGAGGGCTCCCCAACCTGAGCATGAGGAGGTGCTGGGGGACACAGGGAGGGCTCCCCAACCTGAGCATGAGGAGGAGCTGGGACACAGGGAGAGCTCCCCAACCTGAGCATGAGGAGGAGCTGGGGACACAGGGAGGGCTCCCCAACCTGAGCATGAGGAGGAGCTGGGACACAGGGAGAGCTCCCCAACCTGAGCATGAGGAGGAGCTGGGGACACAGGGAGGGCTCCCCAACCTGAGCATGAGGAGGTGCTGGGACACAGGGAGAGCTCCCCAACCTGAGCATGAGCAAGTGCCGGGGACACAGGGAGAGCTCCCCCAACCTGAGCATGAGGAGGAGCTGGGGACACAGGGAGGGCTCCCCAACCTGAGCATGAGGAGGTGCTGGGACACAGGGAGAGCTCCCAACCTGAGCATGAGGAGGAGCTGGGGACACAGGGAGGGCTCCCCAACCTGAGCATGAGGAGGTGCTGGGACACAGGGAGAGCTCCCCAACCTGAGCATGAGGAGGAGCTGGGACACAGGGAGAGCTCCCCAACCTGAGCATGAGGAGGTGCTGGGACACAGGGAGAGCTCCCCCAACCTGAGCATGAGCAAGTGCCGGGGACACAGGGAAAGCTCCCCAACCTGAGCATGAGCAAGTGCCAGGGACACAGGGAGGGCTCCCCAACCTGAGCATGAGGAGGTGCTGGGACACAGGGAGAGCTCCCCAACCTGAGCATGAGCAAGTGCCAGGGACACAGGGAGAGCTCCCCAACCTGAGCATGAGGAGGTGCTGGGGGACACAGGGAGGGCTCCCCAACCTGAGCATGAGGAGGAGCTGGGACACAGGGAGGGCTCCCCAACCTGAGCATGAACAAGTGCCAGGGACACAGGGAGAGCTCCCCAACCTGAGCATGAGGAGGAGCTGGGACACAGGGAGGGCTCCCCAACCTGAGCATGAGGAGGTGCTGGGGGACACAGGGAGAGCTCCCCAACCTGAGCATGAGCAAGTGCCAGGGACACAGGGAGAGCTCCCCAACCTGAGCATGAGGAGGTGCTGGGACACAGGGAGAGCTCCCCCAACCTGAGCATGAGCAAGTGCCAGGGACACAGGGAGAGCTCCCCAACCTGAGCATGAGGAGGTGCTGGGACACAGGGAGAGCTCCCCCAACCTGAGCATGAGGAGGTGCCAGGGACACAGGGAGAGCTCCCCAACCTGAGCATGAGGAGGAGCTGGGACACAGGGAGAGCTCCCCCCAACCTGAGCATGAGGAGGTGCCGGGCACACAGGGAGGGCTCCCCAACCTGAGCATGAGGAGGTGCCGGGGGACACAGGGAGGGCTCCCCCCAACCTGAGCATGAGCAAGTGCCAGGGACACAGGGAGAGCTCCCCAACCTGAGCATGAGGAGGTGCTGGGGACACAGGGAGAGCTCCCCCAACCTGAGCATGAGGAGGTGCCGGGGGGCAACTAGATGAGGGGGCTTAGCTGTTTCAGGGGCATCCTGAAGAGCGCATCCAAGAAGAGTCTATAACCCACCGAGCCGGGACCCGTGGAAGAGGCAAGCGAGCAGCGAAGAGCGAGGCACCAAAGCCGAGCGCCAGAGCAGCAGCAGGAGGGGCGGGGGCTCCGGCGGCACCCCACCCCCACTCAGCACATGTCCCCAAGAGCCAGGGCGGAAATAAGCCTCGTCCACCAACAGACAAAGGCGCCCACTAAACATGGCCGCGCCAGCGTGTGACGCCAGCCAGGCCAGGGGAGGAGGCGTCACGGCGTGCGCCCGGCAGCCTTGCCAGCACGCTGGGGACAGGAGGCCGGACGAATCCCAGCGACCCCCTTGACGGCCCGGAGGGCCAGGTCCACGCACCAGGAAGGAGCCAGGCGCCACGGGGCGGGGCCACACACAAGACTGCTTCTTGGGGACCAAGTGCCCATCTAGGGCAATGGAACTATCTGGAAACAGTGGTAAGATGGCAGAGGCACACGTAAGACGCGGCTGCAGAGCCTGCTGTGGCAGCACGCACCGCGGTCTGAGCACTGCAGGGGCCGAGGCCAGAGTCCAGGCCATCCTGGAACACATGACAAGTCCCATCTCCTTACTCAAACTACCCCATCTGGTCCTGCCAGGCCAAGCAGCCGCACCCCTCACAACATCGGGACCTTCCCCAACCACAGCCCAACAGCTCAGGGCCCACGCCACCCTACCACACACCCACTCAGGCAGGCACCAGGCTGCAGGCATCTCAGACACGTCTTCCCTACTGAACAGATGCACGCCCCCTGGGGACGGCAGATGGCCCTGCCCCCTGTTCCATGTGGCTGGGGCAGGGGGCGGGGGGACCTAGGGGCCGGGGGACAGATGGGAGGGAAGTTCACAGAGTGCACAGGACAATGACCGAGTCATCCTTCCGAGAGACCTCAGCCGCGGCTCAGCAAGTGGCTGCAGTGGTACGGCTCAGCAGGGAGCGCCGGCCTAGCCGGGCACGAGGCCCGGCACATACAGGCGACGCTGTGTCTGAGATGGACGGTTCCAGACGCGGAGCCTGCACGGGGAGGCGGGGGCAGGACCTACTGCGCAGGAGGAACGGGTGGGGTGAGGGGCCTGGCAGCAGCCCGGTCCCACAGGAAGCACCGGGGATCTGTCCCGCCCAGCCACGGGGTCAACACTGGCTGTCCACTTTGGTCACGTTGTACCCCAAAGCTGGATTAGGGGTGGCTAGCCTGCTAGGCCAAGAAGCCGCTGCCGGCCACTGTCCAAACACTGGAAGCAACTTTGGACTTGAGGATGGGGCTGGGTCCAGGAGGCCAGGATCCCCGAGGGAGGGGCATGGTGGGGGCTGACCCTGGGGGCCTGTGGTTGGCCTTCCCACCTGATCTGGGGCCAGAGGACCAGCACCTGCTTGCTGGAGGACCCTCTAGCTACAGGGGCCACTGACCAGAAGGAAATGGCACTGAGCATGCAGAGCAGGTCCAAGGGCTTCAGCCAAGAGCTGATCTCCCCAACAACTCCCAGGACAAATGACATCCAGAGACAGAGTGGCAGAGCACGATCATGGCTGGGACCACATGGGCAGGACGCTGACCAATGACAAGCCTGAAGAGGAAAGACACTGCCTGTGCTGTGTGTACATGCGTGTGCACTTATGTGCATGTGTGTGCATGCATGCCCAAATGTGTATGTGTGCAGGTGTGTGCGGGTGTGCGTGCCTGTGTGCATGTGCAGGGGTGTGGTGCTGGAACTGAACCAGGCCTGCATGCATG